CCAGGCACACTTTTGAGCTCAGGTCGTCTGCAACCGAGCCACTACTAGAAACAGGGTGAAGCTACAAATTCCTGTAAAAATTGCACTGGAATCTCAACTCCTACAGCGGTACAAGGGCTAACTTTGATGCACACAGAAGTCCCAGTCTAAGAATGAGTGGGGGCACCACCGGATCCCACACCCAGGAAACAACCTGGCCATAGGACCTCGACCGAAAAGCACTGGTAGTTTACTATCTGGGCCCTCATCCTCTTAGGAGGAGGGGAAGACACCACTCTAGAAGCACAGAGAACCTTCACCTCCATTATCACTCTGTCGGGAGGTCCTGAAATCAAAGACAAGGTCAAGAACCGCCCAGTCCCCTCCTAGAGCTGTCCAAGCTAGCACATAGCCTTGGCGCCGCCTAGCACCTGTCACTTAAAAGCGCCCAACAGTCCTTGTCACTTAAAAGTGCCACCAAGCAGCTCCCACACTTGCCCAAGGGGAGCCAGCTGGCGTCGCCCTACTAACATCTTAATGTCACCCAAGGAGCCTGTCCAACCTCGGGCGTCTTCCAATACGCCTGCCGAGCCTCCTAGCATTGCCCAAGACGCCCTATCAACCTCTTGGCGTCACCCAAAAAAAAAAAAAAAAAGAGAGAAAGAAAGAAAAGGATAAAGGGGGAGACGCCCAAAGAGAAGGAAAAAAAAAAAAGGGAAGTAGCAGGCGTCGCCCAGACCAAGAAAGAAAAAAAAAAAAGAGGAGGCGGTGCCCAAGCCAAAAAGAAAAGAAAAGAAAAAAAAAAAGATAAAGAAGGCAGGAGGCGACGCCCAATGAAGAAACCAAGAAGAAAAGGAAAAAAGAAAGGAAAGGAGGGCCAGCGCCCAAGGAAGAAACCAAGAAGAAAAGGAAAAAAAAAAAAAAAAGAGGATGGCAAGTGTAAAAAAAAAAAATCACATCAAAAAATTCAGCGAGTCCCTGAGGATGAAAAGATACTGTGGGAAGTAAGAAAAATTCTGACTCACCCAGATAAAGACGAAGCACATGCCCACAACCCTTTTCTCTTGCAAAAAAAAAAAAGTCAGAGGTTTGGGGCATGGGGGGCAAATGATGAGCCCGAATTTGACTAGTCCAAGCCCAATTTAATTAAACTAAAAAAGCCCAAAGAAGAATCCAATTGAAGCTGGGTTGATCCATCAGGGGAAAATCCAAAAGGACATCAAGAGGCCAGCGTCAAGGATCCCCAACTCAAGTGGCCCAAGTGGGCGTCGCCCATAACCTTCTCTCCTGTTGCTCTCTTCCCTTCTTCACTCCAATGCAAGTCCAAGTCCATCCCACTCCAAGTCCAAGCTCAAGATCAAGATCAAGATCAAGATCAACCTAAATCAGGATCATCCTCTGACGGAATAGGGACACGAGCAAGGAAATATCGCGATACGGAGATCCAATCCTACCAAGATTGTATTTACCAAAATGAGAGAAACCCCCTTCGGCACATCACTGCCTCACCGCCTTGATGAACTTATATAATGTAAGTCCTTTGCACATAGAGGGCATACCTTCATGACCTTGAGATCCCTATACATACTACACCTTCCTACACACATTATTCTCTCTCTCCCTCTAAGCACTGTAATACTCCAGGAGAATACTCTCTTCGGTGACTTCATTCATTAATAAAAGACCCAGGCCGTTGTTGGGGTTCCCGAGAGTGGAGTAGGTCACCCGGACCGAACCACTATATATCTTTGTGTTGACTCATTATTTACTGTTGTGCCATTGATTGTCTATTTACTGGTCATTAATTATATCTCTTGATATACTCGACTGTTGATTTTACGTAAAATCGATTTGTACATCATCACATGTTCATAGTAATTAGTGGGATGCTTGTTAAAAGGAAAATAGTAGAAGAAACAAAAAAAAGGAAAAACTTGATCAGGATTCAGTTGGAATTGGATTGTTTAGATTTTGTTGGGGGTATTGTGGTAACCAAAGTACCCAGTTAGGAAGCATGGATACTTTTTGGTGGGGTGTCGTGATAGTGTCGAACACGTTTTCGACCCAGACACAACAAAGATTTTTTAAAAAAAAAACAAAAGTTGACTATTATAAGATATGTTATTTTTATTTTTTTAATATAATTTTTATTATGTAATGTAACTTATATACTATGAATGTCAATGGATGCAATGATATTTGATGAAAATGACAGACATTTATTTTAATATATTTCAATTTTAATCAAAAAATTAATATTTGCTAGGTCTAATTATTAATATTGTTATAATATATACTTTATTTTTAATATATTACAATTGTATTATTATTTAAAATATATATTATATTATTTTAATACTTGTATCTTTGTTATACTCGCGTCCTATATTTTTTTAATTTTGTCATATCACCGTATCCGTATCGTATCGTATCATATCGGATTTGACATTCGTATTTGTATTTGTACTTCCTATGTCTTCGGTGATTTGTTAGTAGAGGATTCATCAATATGGAAGACAAAGAAAATCAAATTAAATTAGTAAGATGAGGAGGTATGCTAGTGTTTGATTATAGTTACGAACATGATTGAATTTTTTTTTTTTTTGGGAAAATGGTTGCACAAAGGGCAAAAGTTTAAAGATTGGAAGTTAAGTGGTTTCAATTTTATAGATTGGCGCAATCAAGTATGTGTATAAGTATGTGATAGCTATGATGGTATTAAAACTAAGAAAAACAAATTTACATAGAAATTGTGAGAGAAGAAGGTAAAAGGATTTTATGAGGTGATATGTAAGGCAGTGTTGCCAAATCCTAAAAACTTTGTACTGAACAAATGAACCTTGGACCAATGAATAGAGTAATATTGGAGTCACATGTGAGGGTTAAGTTGCAGCACTCCCGATTGAAGAGAGCTCTTCTAAAGGGCAAGTTGTTGAAGATGGGTGGATGTTGAGAAAAGGTCAGATGTTGATGGTCTCAGTCATAGGGAGATAACTATCGAGTAGGAGCAAGTGAGTGGAGGACAACAACATTACGTTGGTCTTCGTGGGTGACTATGCATGTGGCAATCCTCTTTTCCTCCTATGACGAGTAGTCGTTGTCTACTGGGGATCCTATACAGGGCAAAAGCACAACGTGAGATGCCAAAGTTCAGGATGGAAGAATTCAATTGACTTGTAAGGGTGGGATGAAGTGTAATCAGTACAAAAAAATAAGAGGAAAAAGGCATGGTGTAACACATGAAAGAATGAGACTAAATTGCAGCAATAAAGAATGATGAATTAATGGAGAGGACAAGGGCTTGTCAAGTGTGGTATTTCATGTGGGGGTGAGTTGTTGGATTTGCAAGTGTAATGAAAATGGGTTGGCTTACATTTGATGGATTCATTATTATGAAATGTAATATTTTTAGTGAATTTAGATTTCAAACATGTATATTAGGTCTTTTTGTTGTGAACTCCACATCTACAGAGACAAGTGGTATCAAAGTTATCAGAGTTGGCAAAAACATTGATATTAATTGAATCTTTATTGATGGCCAAGTTATATGTCATTCATAGGGACTCACCTTATTTACACTCAGTCATATGCCAATATGTTCTTTTTATGAATGTGGGTTAAATCCCATTGAGCAGCTTACTGCCTCCATCGTATGTACTATGGAGAATCCTGCTTGCATAAAGCACAACAACAATTCAGATCGTTTAAATTTGATGGTTTATCTTTCTACTTACATTTTATCCTTTTAACCACCGTAAATCTGTCTATTTATATTTTGATATTTTAATCACAATACAATCTTAATCATACTTTCTATTCAACTACAATAAACCTTTTAACAACCTACTTACAATTTAGCTAGGGTAAACTTTTGAATCACTTACATTTTAATCACGGTAAAAGAATAGGACTTTACTGGGGAGTACCCTTGTATATATATGTATGAGTAAACTTATCAATCGTGTTGGGTGAGACGGATTTGTGTTGGGTCTTAGTGGGTTCGTATCAAAAAGCAATCCACTCGTACCCGTTTCATTAATTAATTCGTGTCTAACAAATCGTGTCATATCGGATCATTTCAAGTATGAATTGTGTATAGTCAGTATATGAAGGAGTAGTGTTGTGTATTTATTTTGATTGGTGTTCTTCATACCCAATTCATTTATTAATTGTGTTGTGTCGGGTCCACTCGTTTAATAAACGGTTGGCTTAAAGGAGAACTAAACCTTCTAATTTCATGTCGTGTTAACAAGTCGTGTCATATTTTGTCACACTTTATGTATGAGTAATGCTAACATAATCATTTATAACAATTAGATTAACAGTAGGCGCTAGTGTTTATTAGGATCCACAACTAATTCAATAGTTAAGATGGATTAGGTTAGTAAATTAGATCCGCAGGTTAGGTCTAAATAGCATTATTGTATATGTATATATAGTTTGTTGTTTGGTGGTTTATATGATATCTCACAGTATGAAGGACTGCTCAGTTCAGCTTTTAAGTTATGACTAATTTGTTGGTAATTTAGCTGGTAAAGGCTCTACTTCTTCCTGGTATTTTGCAGTCTCATAGCATCCTATGATTTATAACCGGGCCTATTTTAGCATTAGGGAGATGGATACGTACTTGTCATAACACGAGACTTGTTTTGTGCCCTAGGCATGCCTTTATCTACTCTTATACTTGAGGAGTTGTATGTTATTATCTAATTATTAGTTACTTCTTGAGTTAACTGTAGCCTGAGGACAACACATTTTACTTGGGTGCTTATACAATTGATCTAATTGTAGGTCAACTGCATCCTTCAAGAAGTCCAATTTACTGACCAAAAGCGTTTTAAACAGTTCGTTTCTCAAAGCAAAGCAAGAATGGAGGTATTTATTAAAATCTTGAAACAAATAGTCAGCACAAATGAACCTCATCTCTCTCTGCTATCAACGCTTGTAACTTATTTTTTTCTCCAGAACCGAATCAGAGGAAGTGGTCATGGCATTGCAGCTGCAAGGATGGATGCAAAGTTAAACACTGCAGGGTGGATCTCTGAACAAATGGGTGGTGTAAGGTAGGACTTCTTGGATGTTTTCAATTGGGTTGGCTTGCAAGATGTCTTGAAGAAAATTATTCTTTGATAAAAATAAATAAATAAACCACCGTCATTTTTGACCTTTTTCGATGCAAATGAGTAATTCAAAATGTCAAGAAAGTGTTTTCTATACCACTCTAGTGCCATATATTTTAAATGCATTTTAGTTGTGTTCCAGCTTTGGAATGAATATTTTGTAATAGTTGTTAAAGCTTTATTCTACATCCTTAGATTTTTTAAAATTCAGCATTTAGAAATTGAATGAGTGTAATTATATTGTTGGTCCTTACAGTTACCTGGAATTTCTACGAGCACTTGAAGAAAAAGTAGATCAGAACTGGGATGAAATCTCTGCCTCCCTAGAGAATATCCGACAATCTTTAATTTCAAGGAAAGGTTGCCTAATAAATCTAACTGCAGATGGAAAAAACCTTACAAACTCAGAAAAATATGTTGGCAAATTTCTGGATTTGCTTCCAAGCACTTCCACGGTTGAATCATCTAGTTGGACTGCTCGGCTTCCTCCAATAAATGAAGCTATTGTTATACCTACTCAGGTCAACTCTTTTCTTCTTCTTTTTTCTTTCTAGCTGTCTTTCTTTACGTATTTCACTCCTGATCTAATTGAGTTTTTCAATATATAGGTAAATTATGTTGGGAAAGCAGCTAACATATATGAGACTGGTTACCAGCTTAGAGGGAGTGCATATGTTATTTCTAAATACATTAGTAATACATGGTTGTGGGATCGGGTACGAGTTAGTGGTGGGGCTTATGGAGGCTTCTGTGATTTTGATACTCACTCAGGTACTATCATTGCATGTCAAGTCAAGGCTAATGGTCATAATTGGTAACTCCAAATTCCTTAGCTTCAGATCTTTTTATGCAGGAGTATTCTCATTCTTATCATATCGTGATCCCAATTTATTGAAAACACTTGGTGTATATGACGGAACTGGTGGATTCCTCCGAGAATTGGAAATGGATGATGATACTCTTACAAAAGCAATTATAGGGACTATCGGAGATGTAGATGCATACCAGCTACCTGATGCCAAAGGATATAGTAGGTTAGTTGGCATTCTTCATTGACTTGTTCCTCTGTGGATGATAGATCATCTGCATGCAGAATAATTTCATCTCTGCCTATAAATATGACCTCTGCCTATAAATATGACCCCTTAATGTAAATAATTAATTTTAGGATAAATGTTGTGATGCAGGGAGGGAAGGGGAAAAAAAGGATAACCAATCCTCGCAAGGATTATGTCAAGAAACACAAATCTCCGTAGAGAATTTTCAAACTAATATTTACTCTCATTAAAATAATGTGCAATATATCCTTATTTATAGACGAAGTGTCATACCATAAATGAACTACTCTACTGCTAAGGATCAAAATTTCGTTTTGAAATGATCGAAAAGTTCGAAACGTTTCGGTTTCGTAAGAGACCGAAACGGATTAGTGATGGAATTGAAATTATAATATTTCAAGATATTGCATAATGTTTCAAGATATTTCAAGCTATTTTGATATATTTCGACTAATGTTTTAGAAAAATAATTTTCAAATTTTTTATTTTTTCATTATATTTCCGAAATGGGTCGAAATGATTCCGAAATACGTTGAAACGTTTTTGTTCCCTAGATAACCAAAATAATACATCAAAACGAAATTTTGATCCATATCTACTACTAAAACTCTCTCAACTTATCCTTACTAATCTTAATCTGATAAATATTGTCTAACTAAAAATTCAAATAATAAATAATAAAAATCCTAACAAATCTACCGGGTGCATTTTCCTTTGGACTAAAAACTCTTAGCCTTCGACTTAGGCTTCCAAATTTAGTCACGCTGGTGCAATATTCCAATAGCCATACCATCATGTTGTTTTATCTTCAAGTGTTTTTAGTGATGCATTTGAGCTATAATTATGATTATATATCTCTACCTTAGGATTTCTGGAGAGTGTATAAATGTTTTCTTTTAAAAGCTTTTGGTAGAACAGACCTTGGGTGCGACTTGAAATGTTTTGGGGCCTAAAGCGGTAAATTCAATTGATACTTTTTAATTTTTTTTTAATAATAGTGTAAGTTTTTTTAATATTTATTTTTTTTACCTTTTCAGAGGCATATTAATTGTTTAATATTCATATTGAAGTTTTTCTAACATCTTTTTTTATTGATAGTATGATTAATTGACTTAATTTTTAGCGGATTATGTTGTCTCGTCATTGACACTCTTGTGAAATTATTTTTCTACGGATTAGACATTACTCACAGAATATATGTTTGATTAGGTTTTTTAAGATCAAGATAAAAACAGAGTTTGAAAGAAATTGAAGTTAATTTCACTTTTGAGAGAGAGAGATAAATTAATGTTAAATGTACCGTTTGACTGAGGAGGCAGAGATAGACAAAGAGGTGTTTGACGGATTGATGCTTCATGCTTGTTTTTCATGTTTAATGTCCAAATTCTTTATAGCGTTTAGAAATTTTTTTTCCTTCATATCAAATGTTATTATGTGAGATTAATGGATTGGGCTTTTGGGCCCAAATCAGTCTAGGGTTTCTTTGTTGGTTTAGGCCATCATATGGGGCATTCTTATAAAACTTATTTTAATGGGTTAAAATTGACTTGGGCTATATTTTTAGACTTTTTAAATTTTGGAGCCTTTTTTATTGGTGGGGCCTAAAGCCATCACTTCATTTCCTCCACTGTTGGGCCGGCCTTGACGGACCTAATTATATTGAGACAAAGAGATGCATTCTAAACTTACAATGATTGAACTCAAAGAAATAAATGTATTTTCCTTTCAGCAGTTTTTTTAACAATAAATTTGCAATTTTCGCCTGTGGCTTCTAGGTACATTTTCCTGTATGATTGCTCTAGCATTTTCTTAGCATTGTTCTTTTCCTTTGGCTTATGCATTTTTCCCACTTGTGGATTTTCATTATGAGAAACCACTAATGATATTAGCAGCCCATGCTGTGGTTTTGGAAACATTCATGGTCACGTGAATTTGCAATGTCAGCATTATTCCCCATGACAGGAAGCTGCCAACTTCGGGACAACAAAAAACTCTTCTGCTTCTCATTTTGATATATATTCACACTTGAATAATGATAATATCGCCGACAAGGGAGGATGAAATTTTAAATTAGTGCAATATCCAAAAGGATATTCATCCTAATGAGGATGAAATTTGTATGTCTGCCTCCAGAGGGAAGTTTTGCTTATAGTTTGTATTTCTTTTTCTGCCCCCAAATTCTTTTGATTGTTGTATTATCTGAGCATTGTAATCAGTGATGTTCACGGATTTTTTCAGTTTACTGCGGTACTTACTGGGAATTACAGAAGAAGAAAGGCAAATGAGACGTGAAGAAATATTATCAACAAGGTAAAGAAGACACTCTTTCACTCTAATATGGATGTGGTGTCATCATAGTATCTGAGGCTGCAACAACTACTTCTATAACAGCCCATCCTCCATAATTTATTTACTTGACATCATGGTTTACAGGTTTAGTGACTTGGAATTACATTCTGTCATGCTTTTTCAAAATCTATTATTGTAAATGGTCCATGATTACCTTCAACTAGGTTTATCTGGATTTGAAGTGTGGTAGGGTGGTAAGATGCTACTGCACATAATGGTTTCTATTTTAAAAGCCCCTCCTTAGGAAAGCATTGTGTGATGCAAGGATCAAAATGTCGTGTCGACACGTCCGAAACGTTTCGGAATTTCAACACTCCGAAACGAAACAGTAGTTGAATCACAAAATTCCAGTGTTTCGGTCGAAACGGTACTGTTTCGGACCGTTTCGGTCGAAACGGCATTGTTTCGAACCATTTCGACAAAACAGTGATATATTCGGTTCATTATGAATAATTACATTTAATACCCCATTATAATTACATTTAATACCCACTGTAATTACATTTAATACTCACTATAATTATATTTAATATCCCACTATAATTACATTTAATTCCCACTGCTCTTCTGTCTTTTATAATTTTTTTGTTATAAGAATAAATAATTACACTTAATACCCTACTATAATTATATTTAATACCCATTATAATTATATTTAATACATACTGTAATTATATTTAATACCTCACTGCTGTGCAAGTTTTTTGCTTTTTTTTTTTATAAGTATTAACAATTACATTTAATACCCTAATGTAATTACATTTAATACCTACTGTAATTATATTTAATACCCACTGCAATTACATTTAATTTTTAAGTATACATAAGTATCATTAATTTAATTTGATACCCTTCATTATTAGTATTATAATAAAATAGTATTATTAATTGGATTATATTACCGTAATAATATGATTTGGAGTAACTATTGTCATCATATTTATGTCACATATGGAGTTTCTCTAAGTAGCTACCCAGAGCCTACACCGATGTATGAGCCTGCTCGACACTCCACAGGGGAATGGATGTAACCATGTAAGTATGTACTCATTAGCATTTCATGTGTATTATAAGACCTTAATATTATGTAAAAATGTGTTTATTTCATTAAAATTAAGTGTTTGAAACTAATTTAAGTGACTTTCACCTCAAGTCAAGCCTTTTTTTTCCTCAAATTTAAATGTATTCTTGTATAAATTGATGTTAACCTAATAAATATGTTGAATTAATAAATTATTTAGCATATCTTTATAAATTAATGGATTGCATTTGTGTTTCTATGCGTTTCCATATTTTTTCTGCGTTTCTATTGCGTTTCCGAAATGTTTCCGAAACGTTTCTATTTTTGAGTTGACCGAAACGGTACTTCGAAACGAAATTTTGATCCTTGGTGTGATGCAAAAGCAAATTAGGGCACTATCTATATACATATATATCCCATATTTTTTCAAAATCTAGCAATTGCATGTGCATGAAGGCACAACGTAATAAACAAAAAAATCACAATTAATTGTTTATTCCTGAAAAAAACTTTTTTAACAATTTGGATAAATTTTTTTTCTGAAAATAAGACCCATGAACAATATCAACATGTGTATGCAATTATACAATCTAGCCTTTATTTAAAGAATGGCTCAAAACCAATTATTGACTTAGCATAACCTTCAAACTCTATGTTCGTGCCTGAAGGCACTACAAAACCTTCAAATTATAGTAGCACAGCTAAGATTCACACAAACCAGTATTACCAATCTCAATGACCCAATTTTTTTATTTTTTTGAACTGAGATAACCCAATATTTACCTATGTCTTATCAGACAAACTATGCCTTATCAAACAAAATCCCATGCAAAAACCAAAACAAAAGGCGTGATTGAACCTAGTTAATTTATGACCCACAAAAAAACCTATTTACTTAGTATCCTTGAGAAATATAATGTGCAAATAGCAACATTAAACCAAACAATTGATTTCAACCCTCAAGTATGCCTAAATGCTTCAAGAATGCTGCTTATATATATACTGCTAATGATGCAACACTGGGCAAGAGAAGTAACAGACCAACATTGACTAAGGTGGCGGGGGCTAAGATACCAAGATGCGAAAAAAAAAAAAAAGAAGATAAATTAGAAAAAAGTCATCATCATTACCACTTCAATCAATAAAAGAATAATGAACACCACATTTATACCTATAAGAGGTAGGAACAATTAATAATGACGATTTAACAATGCGTGGCTGACGGACAATGATACCTTTTTGCTTTGAATATCAAACATTCCAAGGGTAAAGAATAGATTCATTATATTTTCATTGCCATATGATCTAAATTTTCATTTTTGTCTAACATAATGAGGATGCGCACTATATTATAAACACAAAAGTTAGAGGAAGAAAGATGATCCATAGTGAAATATAAAATTGCCTTTAATGTACCTACAAAAGGAAGGTCCTCTCAAAAACTAAAATAGCTTGCAAGAATGAGTTAGGAGCACCAGCCTGTGACTATTTGTTTAAAGACTTCCATTCTTATGCTTACTAACATATGCTTCTAGTTGCCCAGTTGCTGCCAATTTAAGACCTGCATATCCAAGAATATAAATTTTATGAGAAAATACATATGTTAGTGAAAAATGTTTTTATAATCT